TGTACGAACTCGAGTCAAACCCATCTCACAAGACTCGTGGCCATTTTTACATAATATAAAAAATTGTTATATTTTCAGAAAGAATATATATAAACCCTGTTTTTGCTTCAATATATTTTTTTTAAAACCACTTTTAATTATTTTTGCCAATGTAAGCATATCACTTTCACACTCCGACGCGAATCCTGTCTGCCAATATTTTTTAACTCTATACCGCTTCCCTTTCAGGTATAGTCGGTTATCTTGGCTTCCTTTTAGACGGAAGACTGTAGAAGACCCTTTTAGACAACCGCATACCAGAATCAAAAGACAAGAACTTAAACAAAGATTCGGCCAGCTATACAAATTACTGACTAGAAAATATCAACTTCCAATTGACAACAAATTATTGATCTACAAGAAAATCCTGAAACCTATTAGGGCGTACGGGCTCGATCTGAGGGGACAGCAATTTTTTTAAAAATCAAACGCATTAATTCCTTTCAGTCCAAAGTCCTTTAAAAATGGCCGGTTCTACGTTCTATGAAACCAACAAACCGTACTAGACTTTATCCCAGAAAAATATTCCAAATTTCACCAGAACATTATTTACCATCCCTATAGTGAATCCTCCAAGAAGGCTAAAACGGCAATGGCACCGCGACCTTTTTTAGTAGATATATATTGAAGTTCTGGAAATGACCAGATTCTCCAATCAATGTATTTTTGTATTTGACTAATACACTCTTGCTCAAGTGGCGCAGGGATTCCTGGAGTCCTACTATTCCCTCTACAGATCGAGGGACAAGCCTGGCTTGGAGTTCCCTTGCTTGAGTGTAAACAGTGTATATAGGCAGGTCTGTGTTTTTATTATTAATTTACTTATGTTTTAATGAATTTATTTATTTAGTTGCTATTTTGCTTCTGTTTAATTTGTCTGAATTAATTTAATTGAAAGCTTTGCGTGCGTGAAAATTTTCAAATTGAATTTCGGTAAGTATAAATAACCAAGTCCTTAAAAATAGTCTTGGTTACGTATCTCTACATACAAACTGCATAGCTCAAAAATGTTGATACACCATACTGAAACTATGTATTTGAAATTCGTTTATGCCTGAGACGTTACAGCAACTTTATCGCTAAAATATACGTACCGGAAGTGTCAATTTATATGTTAGGTTTTACAATTTTTTCAAAAAGAACTCGTATGATTTTGACTAAATTTGTTATATCCGTATAAAATTTAATGTTTTTAATATGAGTCTCACCTCCTCCTTTTTGTCAGGATCGCGGAGAAAAACCAACATACAAACTTCTCGAGCCTCCTGTCCTATATTGAATTTATAACAGAAATCCAACCTTCTCTAGTGCCCAAATAACGAAGTCCCGCAAAATGTGTGTGTGTGGGTGTGTGTGTGTGTGTGTGTGTGTGTGTGTGTGTGTGTAAAACGAAAAGTCTTACGCAACTGAAATTGAGTATTTAAGTTTTTTACATACTTCTACAAAGTCGATATCATATTCCTTGAGTGGCCAATAAAAATATACATACCAAAACACGATAAAGTATGTTTGTGTCGTTAACCTCGTTGTGTGAAACCAGATTTTCATTCCTAGCACACTTTATATCACTATAACTATTGTCGACGATATATTGTTATATTTCTAAATAAATAAATTTTTAAAAAAAATAACACTTGAAAAGTTGGAAACAGTAGTTAACTAAAGGTTGAACAATATATTCCGATAATTAGTTTTTAACCTCTTTCAGAGGACAAGAAGACAATCGATTATCATAATTTATCTATTAAGTCTATTTTTAGCTATTAATTCAATTTTTATAAACATTTTAGTGTTTATTATGTTTGTTAATTATGATTTTTTTCTATTACCAATATTTTATTTTATAAACACAATATTTTTCATAAATAAATGAATTTTTATTAAATTCGAATTATTTGCTAAAATCGTAAAATAAATTAAAACATTATAAACTGCTTCAACATACTTAAGGTGGTGCTATAATTTTATCCAGGAGCGTAGTTTTAATTCATCGATTCCCATAACAATTATCGAAATAAATTTCACAAGTTGTTTTATGATACTGCTGCAAACTAGTTGAACATTAGTAAGACCATTTGACAATATTAAAACCATAATTAAAAATAAAATGTTGAAATATTTGTTTGGTATAGGTGTTTGTACGAACCCAATTTCCCAGTTCTATTGTGTATGTTCTAGCCATTGATAGAAGTTGAACGGACAGCTGAAACGTATAGCTTTGAAGGAAACCGATAACGTTTGTCAGTGTAAAATGTGAATGAAGTTAAAGCTGACTACGCTATTCACAACTTCTCTATTCTCCCGCTCAAATAAGCTTTTTTTTCATATTTTCGGAATTGAGTTTTAATTTTAAATATTTTGTTTATAATTGATGAAGTAAAAAAATAATTATTCGCTTCGTAAATATTGCATTTAGGATAAGTATGATTCTAGAAAAACGTGTTGAAAACATTGACTCGGTTCCAGCTGCAGTTGTTTTCCTACTTGATCAATGTCAGTTCCGATTTCAATCAGCGCGTGCACATAATGATGACTCCCATATGTAGCCCGCCGCTTCTCAAATGTTCCATCGATAAACCTACTAAAATAAGAAAAGCCACTAAGCAAAATGAGAAAAGTCAGCTCATTTTTTCTTCAATTTTCATGCATACTAAAAAATACTTCATAATTATTTGCTCTTGGGCCCGTCTCATTGCACTTAGTCAATCACTAATTCGGTTCTAATTGAGATCGTTAATCGCTTCAGCTTAAGGAAAAGAATAAATAAAATTGTGTGCTTTCCAAATATATATTAAACTAAACTTAAGTTCATTAGATATTATTTCAATGAGTCGATTAGAAAAAGCAGATTTCTCACATATCATGCCCACAGAAATTACATGGATTATGCAAATTTCGGACTACAATGTCTCCTGCAGAAGAGCCTAAATTAAAATTTATTATATGGGTTTGTGTGAGAATTTATGACTTGATATGATAGCAAAACGTTCTTCCAGAAGAGCGAAAAAATGCGATACAACCTTTACAAGAAATTTGTAGATGAATTAAAAAAGAATTTATTAGTGAATTAGGTATGTCTGGGAGTCAAGTTCGAAAGGCAAAGATCGTTTCATTATCCAACTCAATGTCTCTTCACCGTTGGTTCTCCAACACTTGTGTTAAGTTAAGCAGAAAATAAATAGTCTTACTTAGAAGATTGAGAATTGAAATGAGAGAACCATGGTGGCAAAATCAAGGCTTAACACTAATTAAAGTTGAAAAAAAGATTAATGTTCAACATGCAACTCCATCGAGAACCATTGCACATTATACTAAACTGCACCGAATATGATAAATACTGGAATAAATATCCTCTCATCCAAATCAATACCATTTTCCTCCAAAGGCTCTTAGATCTAGGTAGAGATACCATTAAGTTGATGTGAAAATTTATAGAAGTATCTATAATAGACTTTAAAAATAGATAAATAAATAATAATAATTTACATCCATACCTTCATTATATTATAATATAGCACGAGGGGCAGTATAGGACTTCAAGGGAAATCTTGGGCCTAAAAGAGAAAAAAATAAATAAATACATGAAAATATTGTCAGCCAGATGCCGCCAATATGTCAAATCTATTTCCTATTAGATTTAAAATATGCGTTGTAGAGATATACCATATAGGTAAGGGAATCTCTCTTGTGTATATGTACTAGATTCATGATAGTACTCAGTCGAAATAAATTCATCATATAATACGACAATTGGTAGTCTTGCGATCAAATTAAAAACGATTATTTGTCCTTTATCCATGATTTACCGATGATAGATCTCGCAATTTCTTAAAGGCCATGGGGGCTTTCAAGCGAAGCTTCATTGTAAGCGGGTTTCTCGTAGCATCATTTTTTATCATTTTCCCGAAATCCCTTCAGAGGCGTATCAAGGAAAATACGTATATCGAGTTTATAATTTTTTTAAAACTAAAATTGAATGTTTTTTGAAAATCTAAAAAGAATATGTTCATTTTTTTATTGATCATCTACTTTTCTCCAACTTTGAGCCTTATTGAAATATTGGGGTGGATAAGAAAATACATTTTCATGCGATTGTATATAATGGAATTGATGAGGGACCATCTAGGCACTAATGCACATAATCGCAGAAAATTAGATTAACGGTAACAGACAGCATGCCCGTTGCATAGATTTCACAACAAACAGGCAGACTGACAGCCAAGTATTTTCCTGCTACATAATGAATGTGCTTTTTTTTCTGTTTTCTTCCAGTTATGGAGTACAGTTGCGGATTTGGCTGTATGGAAAATTCCAATGCCAAAAAAAAAGTTCTACTTGGTTGTGAGAAATCAATTTTCTGAAAGATTGGTTTGGGAAGTAGAGTATACGAAGCACTAAGAATCGATCGAAATATTGTTGATTGGAAGATTTGTACTAATAATTTATTGTTTGAATGAACACCATTGCTAATTCCTTTAGGTCCAAACCATTTTATAATAATAAATGAGAGACAGGTATTCTTTATGAGATATCCGTCAAGAATCATAGAATTTTATTCAATATGTTTACTAGCTGCAAAGGTGAGAGATAACTAATGCTAAGTACGAAATAAATATGCAAAATGTTAAACACATGTTGAACGACCACTTATGTAGAGGACAGACAAAAGAGGCTATCTTGATGAATAGAAATCTGTTTATATTCATGGCTGTTATCCACATGTTGCCAACTGCACTCACTCTCTCTCTCTCTAATTAATAAATAATTGTTTTATGTTTTATTTTTTGTTAAACTTGTTATTACTTGTAATAAAACTTATTATTAACAATAAAATTCATCAATGAAATGTGAATTAAGATTTGCTTGCTACATCGTGAAAAGAAGGTCACTGTTACAGATTATATTTCTGAATTCTCAGTATATTTTAAATTAAATAATTTTTTTTTACTGATTTTTTTCAGCCATGTTTTACACCTCCGAGATAGTAGTCGCTCTGGAGTACTTGCACTCCCAGTCAATAGTCTACAGGGACCTGAAACCAGAGAACCTCCTTCTCGACAAAGAGGGGCACCTCAAAATTACAGACTTCGGCTTCGCCAAGAAACTCACCGATAGGTCTGTTCAGTTCAATTATTTTATTTTAATTAAATAAACTCATCAGTTTACTATTTGATACTATTTTATTTTATATATTATCTTTAAAAAATCTAATATGTCCACTCACACGACTTTCCTACCGATTTCAGACAAATTTAAACCACTTCAAAACATTTCGATTTTTAAAAAAATAATTGTAACAGCATTATTTTATTGATACCTCCAAGTGATGTTGCATCACAAAAATACGTAAACATCACGTGTCGTATAAAGATATAACACCTTAAGTATCTTTTTTTTTTTTTTTTTGGTTCTCCTCTACCTCGCCTGTTAGGCTATACGCAAGTTTCTCGGGCCAGCTGGTGAGGACGGAGGATTTATGGCAGAGTTAAAAGACCCCGGGGCAACGGGATGTGAACTCGTAATTATTTTATTGTCACCAACTTTAACGGTTATCAGGTTGCCGGGCAACGCGCAGTGCACTCGTTAGCTCGCTCGGCTACCCCGCCCCTACACCTTAAGTATCTGCTTAGTTAGCTCAAAATATTCAGAAAAAATGGGGAACGGTTTATTAGTAATAGTTTTCGTTTAAAGAGCAGCCGTCATTTAATGTGTTCCAACCATCTTAAAAAGTTATTCCCTTTCTAAGGCTACGTTCTAGGTGTTTCGAAATGTTGAGGAGATTCTCTATAAGGTCTAGGGAAGGTTAGAGGTGATGAAAACGGTAGTCGTTGTTTATAACTAAACCGCAGAGCTTGGTTACTGATGCCATGGCTGAGGATTGCTAAAAATATTAGAAATTGGGTCAAGTACGGTTATTGTGTCTATGCTGTAGGGGTATTGTGAAATGATAAAATTATCTTTTTCCGCTTTTGGGTGCTAGATTGTTTTCAGGTTACCTAGATTGTTGAATCCTGATTCTGAGAAATCGGGAATCGCCGCACAATGGTCAAAAAGGCCAAAATAAGAAGAAATAAAACCATCATCTAATAACTAACATTATGTAATAGATAAATCAAAATTCAACATAGTATAATCCTAAAGATATTAATTCGAATAAGATTAAGTCAAAAGTTATGATTTTTCAAAGGTATGAAGGTAACATTTTTTTTTCTAAAAAAAATTACTGGATCCCTTTCAACCCTTTCGTTTGTATTAATTTTTTTGCCATTGCTTAGATTGCTCGAATCAATATGTATTATTTTTTAAAGCCCATCTGTGGTGTGTTCCATCAATCTTGAAAAGGAGCTTTGATGTATCTTTCTGTAACTTACGAATGTTTTGTCAAAAACTGACAATATTTTGAAAAACTCTGGAAAATTGTTATAACTCAATTATTTTTAAAGTATCTGTAATTAGTAAAGTTTGAGGTTTAGACAGTTCTGCCATGGTAAGTCTAAGTCGGGCCCTAATTCTTTTCCTCCCCATCAATAATAGAAAACTGAGTTGCCGATTTTAGTATTAGGGACCGGTGAGAACATTCTTCGATGTCGTTTGTAGGTCTCTCGAACTGGTTGTAACCACAACACTAGCATAAGACAACTAATAGCACATACCGTCAGTTTCTGGTAGTGATCCAATACAAGTTTCGACCAAAAAAAAAGACCTTAAGAAATTTTAATAATATTTTCTTTAGGAACTCTTTCACAAACGATTACAACACGAATTTTCAATTCAGGATTTTTTTCGCGGCTGAAACAATCTATGCCAATAATAAATAAGTTTATTTAAACTCAAATTACAGTTGAGCAAAATATGATTATTACTGCTGATAATATTTTAAATTTTTCTTATTTTCTGCAAATTACCTAAACCACAATGATGTCTCTCTCGTCTATTATATCATCAACAATAATATTTTCAATGATCTAGTTATTTATAAAATTATTGGATATAAATCAAGAGATTTATTTCATAAATGTTTGGTAGCAGGTGCACTAGAGTCAGCCAGATACAAATCATCTTTAATCTCGGTTTTGATACCGCTGCTATTTGTGAGTTTGTTCAAGTTGATATAAACCATGAGGGTTGGAAAAGCTTTATTTGAAATCCTGTTCGAGTTAACAATTTTATAACACTCTTTATTAATTCCTGCTGCTCACTATTAATAAAACAATGATTGGTTCGCAGATACTGAATTTTGTACTTTTCTTTTAAGCATGATTGCTTATTAATTTTAGTGGAGGGTACTTCAGCCCGAAAGCTTTTTTTTTCATATATATATATATATATATATATATATATATATATATATATATATATATAACGATAATTACTTTGGAAAAAAAGAAAGATACTAAAGAAAGATCTTAAAGTCCTATTAAATGTAATCACACGAACAATGATACTTTAAGAAATTATTTCCATAAAACATGGTTACATTTTACCATTATTGAGAGGAGAGGGGCTTCATCTCGAAAGCCCCCTCCCCCTCCCACGTAGATCCGCCGATGAACCAATCTAATAAGGGTACTCCACTTAAAGACCAGAAAAAAAATGAAGTACTAATTATTAGTTTTATTTATTTATATCAGACTGAACTATTGATTATAAGAGTTTGTTCAATGATAAAATTTAAAGTTTATTAAGGGGTATGAATAAATTCAAAGAAAAGTATATTACAGAAGGAACATGTTACTAACTGCTGGTTAGTATTACAGAAGAAAAATTCTGCCGTGGTTCTTGGTCAAGATGACCAGACTTTTGTTGAGACAGTCCCGATTTTTAACAATTTTTTCTCACTGCGTTTTAAAAAAGTAAGATTTCTGGAAAGAATGTGCGAAAAGCTACAAAATGGCAAGAGAAAGAAAAGATAATATATAGTTTACTGCGCTTAAGCGGCTATCTCGTCAGGATATGAATTTTATATTAATTTTTTTTTATTTATAATGTTAAACATTAATAATAACGAATAATCGTCATTTAACGAATCGGAGGCAGTGAGGACTTTATAAGTAATGCTTTTATTCATAAAGTTACAAATGGCATCTAGCATACAGACTAATATACTATGGATGTATGGGTTGACTACATGAGTTCACTCCAGGTCTCCTACAGTTAAGAATATGACTTCAAGAGAATTAACTACATGAGTGATTAGTCCAGAGAAGGATGGGGTTTATATTCCCAAGAATATCAAGGGGTGAAGGGAAGAGTGGGAGAAGTCGGAAGAGGACGGCAAAGGAAGTTATCAATAGTTAATATTCTTAAGATGTCTGTGTGAAAGTGCCCTTTGGCTGAAATCAGTTATTGTTCCCTCTTGATAATGGTCTTCTGTCCAGTCAGTACATTCTAGATAACTATTTCTAAGCTATCAGAGATAGCTTGACCTCGCTGTCTAGGGCTTTGTGCTTTTATGCTTTGATAAAAGTCATGAGAAAGGTCAATGCACGATTCACCAATTGGCATATTAAATAAAATAAAAGTTAAATTAATATTATTATTATTTGTTACGGATTAAGTCCATTCCGTAACTGTCGATAACTGATGATCGATAACTGCTTATCAAAGTTCGCTTTGTTGATGAGTGGTTAGAATTCGTTTTTAATGAGTTATTATTATTTTAAAAAATCAATTGATAAGGAATAAGATAAATCCTGGACATCAGCAAGTTAACTTCATTTGCTACTTTGATTACGGAAATTTTGTCAGGATAATAGGTTTTATAGCATTTTGAAAAAGAGCTGCTTGCTTGATTGTATACAAACTGCTGGCACAAAACATCTAATTAATATTTGTTAATCACTATTATAAATGTCCTTGAGACAGATTGTAATATTTTTCAATAAATAAGATTCGCTAGAAAAAAAATATATTTGTTAATAAACATGTACGTAATAAAAACTGTTTTATTATTGACGTCTCAAATTAGACATCAAATACATCGTCAAATTATTCGGTCTGAAAACTAAATTATCAACCTTATTTCAGCTGAATATATCAGCATCAGATTATCATTGCGTATTATTAATTATCGTACCAAAACATTTGGACCAAGTTTTATTCTAGAACTCCCTCTCCCCCTGCAATGGTGTCCCGCTTTATGTTAAAATCTGGTGACCTTATTCTTGGTATAATATTACATTTAAATCGTGCTAACTTTTTGGTAGTTATATAGTTTCCCCAAATAATTTTATAAAATATACGTAGAAAACTACGGTCGGTGGCTGAGTATTATTTTTGAAGTAAATTATTTCGGTTTCAGTATTATTCTGGCCTGGCTTATTCAGAGGATTGATCGATAGATTAGTCATCGGTATATCTAAACCTAACAGCTGACCCAGACATCTCAAAGTGCTATGTCATCATATCAAAACAGAATATTACTAACAACGGGACAGAATGATCAAGTTCAGCGATTAATACGAATCAATGATCTTATAGTCCGTGGTATAGGCCCCTTTTTATCAAATTATTAACATCCGGCTGAAACTTCGTAAATAGTTTCATCTCATCGTAACCTATAAACATTTTATTTACGAAAATTCACGGAATTGGGACATTTTCATTCTGGAGGTCGGCTAACATTCTCTATTAGGTACTGAAAACTGGTAAATATCCATTTGCGAACACCCAAAAATATTGAGCCGTTTGGCGTGACCTACACCCCCAAATTGTGAAAATAACGAGATTATATAGGCCTATAGGCTCAATATTTTTGAAGGCCACCTTTTTTCTCACCTTGTGCTCACGTCATCTTTCGATTCAAATTGAAAGCAAATGTGTATTTACGAGTTTTTAGTAACTAATTGAATGGAAAAAGTTTGCCGACCTCCAAATTGAAAACGCCCCAATTCCGAGAATTTTCGTAAATAAAATATTTGTGGGTTACGATGAGATGAAACTATTTACGAAGTTTCAGGCGGATGTTAATAATTTGATAAAAAGGAACCTGTACCACATACTATTATTTTTCAATTTAATGTAGACTCTACATTGTTAATTTATTCAATATAAAATTAATTTGTCTTATTTTGCACATGTTTCTGAGGTTTTCGTTTCTTCAATTCTCTATTTTC